GTCGAGCGACAGGAGATTTGACTTCTTCGTACGATGAGGACCCCGAGGGTGATGAGCTTCGCATTTGGACATCCTCATCTTCGCGCTCGTACGAGTGATCCATCTCGTGCTCCTCTCGCTCGTGTTCCTCAGCTCCAGGCTCATACAACATCATCGCGCCGCCGAGGAGAGATGGATCGACCGTGCCATTGCCATACGGCTCCGTGTCTAAGGACGGCAAGTAAAATTCGGGCGACTGGGGCTCGGGGTGGGGCTCGGGCTCAGGCTCCAGCTCAGGCTCCGGCTCGTTCATGACCGCCATAGGCGCCGAACCCGACGCCGCCGGTGTCGTAGGATTCGTAGGATAGTAGTGCAGGCCATGCGCGGTGATATGCCGGTTGGAAGGGTGCATCCGCATCCGGGGCGGCGACGGGTCCAACGGGTTGAGGTAAGCGCTAAAATCCTCTACGGGAGACCGCATCGCGTGACTCGCCGACGTGCGCCTGCTGTGAGGTCCACGGCTTCCCGACCTGCTCCCAGATTGCTGAATCCATGTATCCGGGCTCGGCGTCCTAGCCTTCTGCTTGCCCCACGCCTTGACAGACAGCGACGGCATCTCCACGTCCGTGTCCGCGTCAAGGCCAGTCTGCGCAGCAATACTACTCATCGCATTGGAGGTGAAGGGCGACGAGAACGATGGCAGCGGGGGAGCCGAGTGCGAAGCCTGGGGAAATCCGGACATGAAATCGGGCTGCAATTCGTCCACGAGCATCGGCGACTGTTCCATGCGAAGCGTCGACGGTCCCGCCTGCATCTCCGTCTCCATCTGCGACGACGAAACCCACACCGGCGACGAAAGACCCTGAATCCCGCTCTGCATCGAGCGCCCCCTCGGCGCCTTCACGGCCTTCGTCCCACCATGCACCTTCACACCCTCATCCCGCAGACGCTGCCGCCCCTTGCCCTTCCCCTCCGCCTCTGCCCAAAGCCCACGCACAGGCCCACCTCCCGACACCTCCCCACCCCCGTCATCCCGCGGCGGCCACGGCCACACAAGACACGGCACCGGGCGCGACTTGTGAACCCACTCAGCCACATCCACCCCAAGCGCCACAGCCGCCGCCCGATCCGCCTCCTCGACCTCCACATCCCAACGCAGCCTTACCACCCCATCCGCGGTGGGCTGGTCACACCACCCGATGGGCCGGCGTCGTTTCGACGGAGATGGAGAGAAGGCAGCCGGAACGGCAAGCAGCTCCTCGTCCCGCGGGCGCGGCGCCCTACGCACGCGCCTCTCCTTCTCCTTCTCCGCCCCGTTTTCCTTCTCCCGCGAGGGCGCACGGTCTGCAGCCCGGCGGCGCGGAACCGACTTCGCCACCGCGGCCTCGCTGACCGCCTTGCCGATGGGGATCGTCCCTCCGCGCTCGTTGTGCGCCCACGCCCTGTTCAGCACATCGCCCAGCGAGGGCTCCGCATCTTCTTCTCCATCGTCCTCGTCCTCGTTTTCGCTCTCCTTGGATTGACGAACGCTGGCCTGAGATTTCGTCTTCATTCTCGGCTTCGTCTTGACAGCGCCCGCGCTCCTGTGACTGACCGCACGACTCCAGCCCCTGCCACGGTCGTCAGCGTCGTCGTCGTCGTCGCTGCTGCTGTCGTCCTCCCGCCCCCGCCGCCCTCGCGCCACCCAGCTCCTGCTCCGACCCGTACTTTCGCTCTTCATCCTTTGCCCGCTCGCACTCGCACTCTTGCTCACCACCACCGCCCATTCCTTCCGCACGCGGGCCCGCTTATGCAGCGGATACGCCGCCCGCGGCACCAGCACGTACTCCATCTCCTCCCGCTTGCGCTTCTGCCCCGCCCCACTCCGCTTCGTCTTCGTTTTCGTCTTCGTCAACTGCTTCTCCTCGCGCGCAACCCGTCTCGCAACCCCGCTCCCCGCCCTCTCCCGCGGCGGCGGCGGCGGCGGCGTGAACAACCACTCCTCCTCCTGCACATCTCTCTCCTCCCCCACATCGAACCGCATCCCCTCTGGCGGCGGCGTGAACAGCTCGTGCACCCCCGGTCCCGGCGGGCCCGCGTCCTCATCCTCGTCCTCATCCTCGTCGCTTGCATACGTACCAAGCGCATCCAATGCGCTGGCCGAGATGGACGCGTACGCGAGCTCGGGCGAGGCGATGAATAGCTATAGGAAGACGTACAAGTAGTAAGTAATCGACATGACAAGGAAGAGAGTGGGGATGCGAACCGGATCGTCATTATCAGTGTCGCGCTTGGTGCTTTTGCTTTTGCTCCGCCCACCAGCGTCCTGCAACGCCGACATGTGAGCCCCGGACAAACAAAGCGTGCGGACCCGCCAATAGGACAGAGAAACGCACCTTCTCCTCCTCCTTGACTTTATACATCTTCGATTCGTACCGCACCGCCTTGAGGTTCTTCTCCTTCTCCTTCTCCCTCTCCTTCCCGTGTTTCTCTTGCTGCAGCTTCGCCTTGCCGGTCCGCGAGCTCGACGCGGTGCTCTTCGTCGTCGCGTGTCCGTCGTCCTGGATGGGGTCAGCGATTAGCTCGGCAGTGAGGCACGAAAAAGGAAGAGACAAAAGATGTAAGGCGACAAGAGCAGCGAACACGTCGCTCACGACAAAAGGCAAAGAAGGGCAGCGTACGGTGAGAGTCCCTGAAGAAAATCGCGAAAAAAAAAGGTGAGAGGAGAGAGAAAAAGGAGATTGTCTCCGATCGCCCGCCGCCCGCTAGCGAAACCGACGGTGGAGGACAAAGACAGGTGCCGCGCCGCGTGCGCCAGAGGATGAAAGGACAAGGAGGATCTCCGTAATGGAGAGAAAAGTAACAGAGGAGCACTGGATGGTAGCGGCGCGAATGTCTCCGTCCTCATTCCGGGAGGGATGTCGGTGATCACGAGTGAAGAGATAAAAGAGAGACGCAGGGCGACACGCGACCACAGCGCGTCCGACGGGAGAGAAAGGGCAGTGTCCGGTGGGGACGTCGTCTCGAGGCAAAAAAACACGGACATCGTGCGGGGGTGGAAGACAACTTCCGCGCTCCGACCGCAGGTGCTCGCCCTGGAGGTAAAGAAAGAAAAAAAAACAAAGAGGGTCGAGCGGGACCGCACCGCGAGCAACATCCAAATCACCCCGCGCAAATCGCCCCACGCGCGAAGGAAAGAAAGAAGGAAAACAAATAGATAGCGACACGAACCTGACTATATACCCCAGCCCACCACGAGCCCGCCGCGCGCGCCCCATTTGCACTTGAACTCGCACTGGCGCCGGATGAGGGCTCGGGCGAGAGGCTCGAAAGCGGGGAAGACCCCATCCTACTCCCGCTCCCGCTGCCACTTCTGCCCCTCCCCGTGCCTGCTTCGGCTTTCGGCTTTGTCTTGACTGTGGGTTTGGATTTGGAGTTGCTGATCCTCGCGCTCGCGTCGCTCTCCCGTCGCGAGGGGGGAACAGAGACGGGCGGCGTAGGCGGTGAGGGGGCGCGCGCGGCGGTCTGGAGCGCGGTGGGGGAGTTGAGCGCGGAGGGCGCGCGGCCCCGGCCCATGCCCAGGCTGATACCCATGGGCGCGCCCCCCATGTGGTGCCCCAGGGCCGCGCCGAGACCCATGCCCGTGCTCATGCCCATCGACAGCGCGCTCGAAGTGGAATTGGAATTGGCGTTGTGGTTGGAGGGAAGGAGCGCGGGACCGGGGGCGCCGAAGGTCGGGAGGGAGCTTGCGGAGGACAGTAGATGGGGTTTCGGCGCCGGGGGTCTGGTGGGCATGGGCATGGTGGGCGCGCGGAGGAGGGGCCGAGGCACGTTTATCGCGAGCGAGGTCTTGCTATTCAATGAAGACGACGGTATCAGTGCGGCTCCCAAGCTGGAGCTTTGCGACGAGTGCGCGGGTGGTGCTTGCTGTGGGTGGCGCGTTCCCGTTGAGGCGAAGAAGTGAAAATTGGCAAGTGGACGCACTCTTAATATCTCGCGAGGCGCGCCAAAGTAGAGTCTCGAGGCGTCCTGGGCAGCTGTAAGGCAAAGGAGAGGTTCGATGCACGAAAATTACACACCGACGGTCTATCTGCGGAGGTTTTCTGCGCCTGCGCGTCGGGTCAGATACCACGCCAAAGATACATCGATAATGGATAAAGAAGCCCAATTCACCTGGACTTGGCCATTGCTACTCCCGCTCCCCTCGTGGTTTCGCCGATTATTTCGTTCTTTCGCTGCTGGATTCGCGTTCCCCGTATCCAATTTGGGGTGTGGCGTGATTGGGGTACTTGTACTTGAGCTGGCAGTGGACATCGCGGGCGATATGTTCTTTTGTGGGGTATGTGAGCCGTCCCAGTTGGCGAGTGACGAGTCCATCGCCACCGGCGAGCCTCAGGGTAACGCGGAAGAGAGACAGACGGACGAGAGTTTGGTCGTGTTTACTTTGTGGCCACATCCGGACATTTCCTCGCTTCATTTTTTTCTGCCATCAACCACGACGGTCCCGCAAGAGCTCGCCTCAAGAAATGACTCGCTCTGGACGCCAGCACACTTGTCGCCGTCTTTCACGTCAACGATTTTTCGGAGAACGAACTCATTCCGAGGTGTTGGGTTCAATGGAATTTGCAAAATCCAAATCACCGAAATTTCGAAAGGCATCGTGCAAAGAAAGATGTTGCTCTCCATCTAGTTGGTTTACCTGCGCTCACAAATCGGACGCAAATTGAGCCTCAGCGCTCGTGGCCTTGCGCGTCTGAATGAGCCGTTCCAGATCTACCGCATATTTTGCCTTCCCAGCGGCGCTCAACTTAATCCAGACAAGTGCAATGGTCACACCGCTCCCTGCTCGAAGTCGACCTACGAGGCAGCCGAGGGTTCGACTCCCTCTGTCTGAATGAACAAAATTGTATAATTTTTTGGCTTCTCCAACTTTCTTTTACCTTCTCACCCTCGATCCTAGAAATTTTGAACCGTGGATGTGAGTGTCTCAAGCACTCACCCGTTCAACCTCAACTTACTTCTCCTAGTATTATCAACAGGAATCGGACGTGGTGTACGGTACACGCCCTCTTTAATTGCGGTCGAACACATTGGCTACTAGAGGAAGTACGGGGTTCGATTCCCCGCGTCCGGCTAGGACTGGCGAGGAGATGCGACTTTTTCCCTCCCAAAACTCGCTAACCACGCGGCCTTGGCAGCAGGTTATTTATTTATTGAGGTGGTACACGCTCTGTAGCGTCCAAGAGTTTTGGTACCTGTTCATGTACAGAGGCGAGTTACTTGTGTTTTTCAACCAAACTCCGTCCGAAGCTCGCTAACCAACCCAACCCAACTTCCCTGCAGAGATGAATCGGACATGGTGTACGGTACACACCCTATTTAATTTGGATAGCTGTAAGGACTATGAGAGGGAGTACGGGGTTCGACTCCCCATGTCCGATTGTTGTAGGCATAGTTTCCTTTTTCTTCTTCTTCTTGCTAAACTGCAGAAATACGCCCTCGGGAAACGATTAATCCGACCTGTGGTGGCGCGTGGCGTGGTAATCCTGTCCTGCAACGCATTGCCATGAGGGACCCAGTTTCATGGCATGTGCAGAGGTACTCACGTTTTTCAACCAAACTCCCCCAGAAACATGCTAACCAAGTCAACATTGCTACAGGGTCCATGAATCGGACATGGTGTGTGGTACACGCCCTCCATATCGCGGTAGGCCTGGCCATTTCAAGAGGGAGAACAGGGTTCGAATCCTTGTGTCCGACTAAAGGATCACCGTCTCTTTTTCCCTAAAACTCGCTAACGTAATTTTCGCGACCGCTTGCGTTATCAACATCACGTGCGGTACATGCCCACACTGGTGCCATTCATCGCGGGTACAGCGGTGAGTTACTTGTTTCTTCAACCACACTGTCCGAAGCCCGCTAACCAATCCAACATCGCTACTGCTTCAATAAATCGGGCATGGTGTGCAGTACACACCCTCTCTAATTTACCGGTCTTCAAGATTAGAAGAGGGAAAACAGGGTTCGACTCCCTGTGTCTGATTTCATCAGAGGTGTGAGTTGGTCTTTTTCCCCCCAAGTTTTACTAACCACGCATCTTCGCAGCGGCTGGAGTCTTTCAACTCATGGATTGGTGTGTGCAGCATGCATGCCATCAACATGCCATTCATCCGGGCACGGAACCAAGTTGTACCATCTTTTCAACCGAACTCCGTCGGAAAACTTACTAGCCACCCCAGCCTCGCTACAAGATCCACAAATCGGACATGGTGTATGGTACACGCCCTCTTTCATTAGATTAGCTCATAGCAGCTGCAAGAGGGAGTACGGGGTTCGACTCCCTGTGTTCGACTCTCATAGACGTGAGTGGTCTTTTTTTTCCAACTGCGGCATATCGCCGACTTGTTGGCTCTCTCGAGGGGACAGGCAACATTTCATCGAAGGTGTTGTGCTGTGCGGGACACACCCTGCAAGACACACTGGTGCTTCCATTACGGGTACAGCGGTGAGTGAATCCCATCCTTTTTCAACTCGAAAACTCGCTAACCCACTACAGAGGTTTCGAAATCAAGCATGGTGCACGGTACACACCCTCTTCAAATTCGCGGGTGGTAGTAACTCTGTAAGAGGGAGTACAGGGTTCGACTCCCTGTGTCTGACTGACCATCCCTGCTGCATTCTTTTCCTCCGACGAGCTTTTAACCACGCGACATCTGCAGCGGCTAGAGTTACGGGTTGGTGTGCGGTATGTACGCGGCATTTATCGCAGAGACAGAGCCGAGCTACTTACCATCTTTTCAACCAAGTTCCGTCGGAAATCTGCTAACCCACCAGTCTCACTACAGAGGTTTCGAAATCGGACATGGTGTACACGCACTCTTCAAGTATGTCGTTCAAACACACACCGCAAGAGGGAGTACGGTAGGTAGGTAGGTAGGTAGGATGGTTCGACTCCCCGTGTTCGACTATTGTGGAGCCTTTCTTTTTCACACTGCGGAAGATCATCGACTTGTTCGCTCTCTCGAGGGGACAGGTACGATTTAATCGAAGGTGTGTAGTGTTGTGCACACTGGTGCCATTCATCGTGGGTACAGCGGTGAGTTACTTGTTTCTTCAACCAAACTCCGTCCGAAGCTCGCTAACCAAGCCAACATCGCTACAGGGCTCAGAATCGGACATGGTGTGCGGTACACCCTCTTCAATTAGATCGATGAGCCACAGGCTGCAAGAGAGAGTACGGGGTTCGACTCCCTGTGTCCGATTATTGTGAGGTGAGAAGCTTTTTTTGTTTTTGTTTTTTCGCCCCAGGAGATAGACCAACTGGGAAATTGACAATCTCAGGTGTGTTCTGTTGGTCCTTTTCCTCCCGGAAACTCACTAATCCGCAGCCTTCGTAGCGGTTAAGTTGTTCGACTCGTTGATCGGTGTGTGCGGTGTGTCGCGAGTACTTACTGAGTTCAGTCGCTTGCTTACCCCCGTTTCAGCAACTCACAGACCAATCCAACATCACTACAGGCCCACAAATCGGACATGGTGTACGGTACACACCCTCTTTAATTCGCTTGTGTTTGTTGTAACTGCGAGAGGGAGTACAGGGTTCGACTCCTTGTGGCCGATTACTTGATCTTGGTTCCTTTTTTCTCCTCAAATTCACTAACCACGCGGCAGAGTTGCCCTGCAACACACTGGTGGCATTCATTGCATGTACATGCTGAGGTGAGTTGCTCGGCTTTTTTTTGAACCAAACTCCGCCGGAAACTCACTAGTCAACCCAACGTCGCTGCGGGGTTGAGAAATCGGACATGGTGTACAGCACACACACCCTCTCTACATGGCTAGACGGTTCAGCGACAACTGCGGAGAGGGAGTACAGGGTTTGACTCCCTGTGTCCGATTGACAAGGTTTGATGATTGGCTTAATTTTTCTTCGAGAAACCGCGAACCGCGCGGCAAAGTTATTGAATGGTGTGCATAGCAGGGCTGGCCAGTAATGTAAGAGGACATCTGTCAGGTTACTCTCCCTTTTTCAACCAAACTCCAGAAACACACCAGCCAGCCCAGCCTCGCTACAAGGTCCACAAATTGGACATGGTGTATGGTACACACCCTCTAATTATGTGGTGTAAATGACGAATGTTGCAAGAGGGAGAACCGGTATATGGTCAGAGCTCATGTGCGTTTTTTTTTCCGACCTGCGGAGAATCGAGGGGGTTATACACAGGACGTAAGTATTGACAATAAGCCCTCGAGTGCGTTGCGTTGGTCCTTTTGCTTCGAAAATTCGCGGACTAAAAAAAGCGAATGTTCGCTTCGATTCCGGGTCGACAAAGTGAACCAGCGCCCCAGTAAATCAAAAAATGGTTCTCGTTGTGATCCCGGTAGGACTATAAAGTGTTCCCTCCTCTTTTCAGCTTTGAACGTCGGCCCCGGTGGTATGTAATGCATCGATCCTCGCGCATATTCAATAACGTAGAGCCCGGACGCAGTCCCGCAACGAAGCAGGGAGGGAAACTGGCCAACATTGCGTAAATTGCTTTCGAGTTGTAGACTTGAATTTACGGTGCTTGAGGATGCGCATCCGGCGGAGAGATTCCGGACTGAGAGGGTCGGGGAGGGATTTTGCGGTGCGTGGTTCCAGACAGTCATACTAACCGGCGGTCGGTGCCCAGCAATGAAAAAATACCGCCGCGCGCATGGTGAGTTTTCCGTAATGGCCGATGATATGAATGTCCGCCAGCGCCATTGTCCTAAGTACTCGGAGTCAGAAGAGGTCGCTGCCCGATATCGATGTTCCGGTTCCGCGTGGATCCAGCTGGATCCAGTGTTGCCTAGTCTTGCGACCAGAAAAGTTGTTGGAACGGGCATCCAGCGGGAATAAAATTTCCACAGCGCGAAAGCGAGATTGGCGAAAGAAAAGGCGGCGAGAGTTGACCGCGTCGTGGCGCTTGTCAGGTGTCAGAAAATAGGGGTAAGGACGAGGGCTGGCGAGAGCAGGCTGCACAAGACGCGAAACGGAGCAGCATCGCATTGCTGTGGTGGAACCAGGTGGAATATCGAGGGAGACGGAGAGAAAGCCGTTTGCGGCGGGGTCGGAGTTTGCCGGAGCCGCATTGAGGCCGTGTTGCGCTACGGTGTTTGATCTGATCACCGCTCCCGAACTTCCTCTTCCGCCCACCAAAAATCGTAGAAAATTCGGCAGACCGAGCAGGAACTCACGGAGAGTGCTAGCATGATGCTGCTGGACTGGAATATACTCCCTGAGGTGGCCCAACGGCGCTCTGCCCGACTTCGTATGGTGAGATGGTTGTGACACCCGACAGCGATCTGGATGAAACATTACTCGGAGACTGCTCGCCGCCAAATCATATAAAGTGAAGTGGGTCCCAACCAATCTCCTTCACTTTCCCCCTTCCACCTTATGACCTCCCTAATTTCTTTCGCGGCGCTCCTGGCGCTTGCCTCTTCTTCGTCTGCGTTCCCCAATCTCGACAAGCGCGTTTCTGGTGTTACCACCTCCTCGAATGGGATAAACGGGAGCACGTTCGACTATATCGTGGTCGGCGGAGGGCTGGCCGGCATGACTGTCGCGTCGCGGCTCTCCGAGGACCCCTCAGTCACCGTCCTGCTCATCGAGGCGGGCGAGGACGACCGCTCCAACGACGAAATCTACGACATCTATGCCTACAGCGACGCCTTCGGAGGCCCTATGGATTGGGCATGGAAGGCGGAGCAGGGGAAGGTTATCCATGGGTATGTCTCATGCCCACCCCGCGTTCTAGCGATTACCGGTCTGATACCCTTCATTCCCCAGCGGCAAGACCCTCGGCGGAAGCTCCAGCATCAACGGTGGCCACTGGACGCGCGGGCTTAATGCTCAGTACGATGCGTGGTCGAGTTTGCTCGAAGACGATGAGGCCAGTGTTGGGTGGAACTGGGATGGGATGTTCAGCTACATGAAGAAGGTGCGATGTCTCCTCTGCGCGGAATACGACTCATACCGACGTATTCTTATCATAGGCTGAAACTTTCTCTGCTCCCAACGCGCAACAGGCGGCAAAGGGCGCACAGTCGATTGCGTCTTACCACGGTACCACCGGTCCCGTCCAGGTAACCTACCCCGACGGAATGTACGGCGGCCCGCAGCAGCCTGCCTTCGTCAACACGATCGTCGGCCTCACTGGTTCGTCGTCCTATTCCTTGCTCGACTCGTTTACGGTGGTGATCCTCAATCCCCCTCAGGCATCAGCCACTTCAAAGACCTCAACGGCGGAACGCCCAATTGCGTATCCATCACTCCCCTCGTGCGTCGTCCATCTCCCTTATACTCATAGGATGATTCTCAAGAGTCCTAATCGCATCCCCAGTCCCTCGACTGGCACCGCTCCGACCACCGCTCCTCCTCTGTCGAGGCCTACCTCACCCCCGTCGAAAGCTCGCGCACCAACTGGGTTACCCTGGCACGGCACATCGTGCGGATTGTCGTATCTCACCGTTTGGACATATAATCTGACTTGAACGAATTAGGTGACCAAAATCCAATGGTCAAACCCCGGGAGCGTCCCGCTGACCGCGTCCGGTGTTGAATATGCCTATTGGACCAAGGCCGATACTCGGTACACTGCGCATGCGCGCCGTGAGGTTATCATCGCCGCCGGTGCCATCCAGGTTCGCTTGCTTTCTTTCTCGCCGCTGCTGCTGCTTTCCTAGCATTGTGGGATAATTACTAACCGAATCCCAGACCCCCCCAACTCCTCCAACTCTCCGGCATAGGCGACCCCCGCCGTCCTCTCCCCCCTCGGCATCTCAACCCAAATCAACCTCCCCACCGTCGGCAAGAACTTACAGGAACAGGTTCGTTCCCCCGCCTACACATACGCACCAACCAGTTGATTTAACATAACGCACAGACTATGAACTCCCTCGGCGCGAACGGGAACGGCTTCGACAAGGGCGGGCAGGGTCCCTCGGACGCCATCGCCTTCCCGAACATTTACCAGCTCTTCGGCTCCGCGGCCAGCGCTAAGGTCTCGCAGATCCAGGGCAACCTCTCGTCTTGGGCGACGTCGCAGGCGGGGTCGGCGCTTTCCGCGGCGGCGCTGGAGGAGATTTATCAGGTGCAGGCGGGGCTTATTATTAACAACAATGGTGTGTTCCGTGCCGTCCGCATGTTGAGGTGCGATGGATGTTGATGCGTTCGACACAGCCCCGGTCGTTGAGCTGTTCTTTGATTCTGGGTTCCCTGAGTGCGTTTGCGTTTCTCCCAATTATCTTACCTTCCTTTGCAGTCGTACTGACGGAATTTACTTGCAGCGACCTCGGCATCGACATGTGGCAGCTCCTCCCCTTCAGCCG